AGGGACAGCATGGGGTTTGAGAAGTGAGGGGACAGGTTCCTCCTGAGGCAGGCAGAGCAGGGGGTAAAAGACCTTTGCCAAGAGGTGAAAGGGCAGAGAAAGGTGAAGAATGGTGGCAGCTCAGAAGAGAGGGAGAAAGGTTCCCTGGGTTCTCGCAGGGGGCTCCCCAGGGTCACCAGGGGGGCCAGTGTGCTCAAAAAGTCTCAGGGTGTGGTGAGGTGCCTACTGCTGCCCCCACAGGGGCAAGGCCAACTCCAGGATTCCAGAGTGCGACCTTGTTTGCAGCTTTGGATGCTTCTCACCTTCAGATGCCTCCTGGCTTCCTGTGCTGTCTGGAGCACCTGAAGTCTTACCTGGCAGGGGGGAAGTACTCAGACTTGGTGTAGGAGGTTTTTGCATGTTAGAATGTGCATTTCGTAGCTTTATAAATCTCTAGGAGCGTGTTTTTTAAGCCGTTTGGCCAGTAGGTCATCACACTGCTGACGGATGAGATTGGTACAACAGCTCGCTTTAGTGTGGAATTCCCTCACCAGCACTATTTTGTGTCCAGAAGAAGAGATGTTTCTTGCTTAGTGTAACTTGCTTTAATCCACAGAGGGCGTGAAGGTTGTTGATTGTTTTTCTTTGCTTCAGGTTTCACTTCCAAGTAACTGCTTTTGGAAAAGACACTTAACAGAAAAGCAAACTGTTGTACCTGAAGATTGATTATACCTTTTCTTTCATCTATCTGTCCTTATCAATTTTATGTGTCATACGTGAAAGTCAGTACAATGCTCATTTTTCATGGATACATGAAGAAAGTTTGCAGCTAGGAGCACCTTGAAATCAGGTCCCCCCTGAAATCAGTAATGTACCTAGTGTTTTCTGCTAATATTTTCTAATGTGTGCATGAGTATTTAAAGTCTTTTTTAAAAAACATAAGTAAATATCTATCTTTTTTGTGTGGTCACACCCAGCCATGCTCAGGGATTACTTCTGGCTCTGCACTGAGGAATTACTCCTGGTGGTGCTTGGGAGACCATATGGGATGCTGGGAATCAAAACCAGGTTGGCCAGGTGAAAGGGATGTCCTACCCACTGTACTATCACTCCAACCCTGTAAGTCTTTTTTTCTTTTTTTTTAAACTTTAAATGATATAGATATTTATTTTATCATCCATACAGAAAAATAATTTATTAATAAAATCATCACCTTTTGCAATTATATCTATAATTTTTTTTATTAGTTTTTCAGTCACGGATAAGTTAAATGCCAGTATGGGTACAGAATATTGGTTCCTGTGATCTGGAAGGTAAGTCAGAGGGCTGGAGCATGTGTCAGCCCTGTGTGAGGCCACAGGTTCAATCCCCGGTGCTGCATGGTTTTCTGACCACGATTTGGAGTGGGCCTCAGACTCCCTAAGCATTGTTGGGAATAAATATATGTGTGCATGTTCTATGTGTGATTACACACACAAATGTATATGTATATGGTCTCTCTCTCTCTGGCACAAGTGAGAGCATGTTTACACCATTCTATATTGACTTTAATGCTAGACTATCTTGGGGCTGGAGCAATGATACAGCAGACAGGGTGTTTGCCTTGCACATGGCAGACCTGGGTTCGATATCCAGCATCCCATATGGTCCCCCGAGCACTGCCAGGAGTAATTCCTGAGTATAGAGCCAGGAGTAACCTCTGTGCATCACTGGGTGTGACCCAAAAATCAAATAAATAAATAAACTATATAAAAAATGCTAGACTATCTCGACTAAAGTATTAGTACAGGTAGAGTTATTTCATTCTTTATAGAGATGGCCACATTATGCTGTTGTATGGTCAAAGACACTTGCTCTAAAAATGTTTAGAGGGCCAGAGGATAGTACAGTGGGTAGGGCACTTGCCTTGCACATGGATACATCAGGTTTGATTCCTAACTTCTTACACGGTCCCTAAACCCATCAGAAGTGTTCCTCAATCCCTGAGCACTGCAGGGTGTGACCCAAAAACAAACAAACGAACAAAAGTTTAGATTTCCTTGTAATAGTCTTTTACCACACCATAATCCATATCTTTAATAATAAAAACTAGTACTAGAAATGGAGTGATTGGGTAGAATGAATCAACTTTCTAATCTCTTGATCTCATGTTGTCATACCAGCTTTTCAAAATCTAAAAGTATGTGAGAACTGTTGTTATTGTAAACATATGTTGCCTCAAGTTTAGTTGCAGAAAATAACCAGTGTCATTATCCCAGTGCCTGCCTGCGGCTGGCCACCGTGATGTGATCTCAAGGTTCAAACCCAAGAGCACTTGTTTCCAAGTTCTCTCAGGAGGCTGTTTGAAGCCCTCCAGTCCTCCCTAGCTCTCGGCCAGTCTGAGGTTATGTGTTTCTCTTCATACTGGTCTCCCACCGGGAAGTTCTCAATACAGAGCTCACTTCTCTCTACACAGGCGAGAAGGAGAGGAGTCAGCAGAGGCAATGAGGAGGCACCGTTGTTTTGTGTGTTCACCTGCTAACGGCAGGCTTAGTCTTGCTGTTCTCATTTGTGTTAGGGAGCTGCTGACCGTTCCCCTCTCAGGGTGAGGAATGCAATGGGGGATGCCGTCCTGGTCGCTGGCTTAAGTGGCTGCCAGCAGCTAGCCACCACATCCACGCCAGCAGTGTGGGTTGGTTCATGAGGAATCTAGCTCACCTTTTGTTTTTCTTTGATTATGAGGAATGGGTTGCGGGGTTTATGGTTTCTGTCTTGTGGTCAGTATTGGTACAGACAGAACTCTTTTATCAACTCTCTGTTTCCCCTTCTCGTGAATCTGACATTTCATCCTCCCTGCATTAGATTTGTCTTGTTAATTTAAAAATATGACCATTCTATTGAAGGAAGGCTGCCTTGTATTTATTTATTTATTTATTTATTTATTTTTTAGTCTTCAATATGGCAAACACAGTAACAAGTTTCACAATGTTACTAGACTCGCTCCAGCGAATTGATGAACAATGGGAGGACAGTGACAGTGACGGTAATTTTGTAGTCTTATTACTTGTATTACTGGGGACCAAACTCAGCTCTTCATGCATGGAAGACAAATGCTTGACTGCTGAGCTTTCTCTACACCTTTTAATTCCAATTTGTTTTTTTTTGAGCGCATGAGTACGTGTGTGTGTGTGTGTGTGTGTGTGTGTGTGTGTGTGTGTGTTGGTGGGGGAAACACTACCAGAAGCCTTAGGGATTACTCCTGGTGGTTCTGAGGACTATGTGGTGCTGGGTTGGAACTGACTGGGCCTCATAGCTTGCACAGTCATTCGCCTTCTCTCTAGTTCTGAACCCCCCCTTTATATCTCACTTTGCACAGTGGCTCAGTACAAGCCGTTATTCCTTATTAAAGACCTTTAATTATGGTGACCAGTGGTCGTGGCTATCAAAAGCTGAACAAAAAGAAGGAGGATTTGACATTTATTCGCTTAACTTCCACTGCATTTGTAGTGACATGCTAACATTTGGTGGTTTTAATACCTGTTACAGACAAGATCTAGCCATTTGCAGGCTAATCATCAACTTCCAGCTTAAAAATTTCAGAATGAGTTAAAAACTGATGCAAATGCAGTGCTTAAGAATTTTCAGAGCTGTAAAAAGAATTATCTCTTCAAAGGTCCAAGAAGACCAAGACTTAGACACAAAAATCCAAGCTTTTCTTAGAAGATCCAGAACTAAATACCGGTGAGTAAGATAATCTATCATTGTAGGAAGCTCATTATTTACTACGACAATAGGTGAATATTTTCTAAGAAAGGAGAAACTCAGGGCTCCAGAGATGACTTCAAGGGCTGAGTTCATGCTTGGCGTGTGGGAGGCCTGGGTTTGATATCTGGCACTGAGTGGTTTCCCGAGTACAGGTCCAGGGGTTATTTCCAAGCAGCTACACATGTGGTCCCCAAACCCAAACCAAACAAAACCCCCAAACAACAAACAACAACAAAACAAAGAAAAAAGGAAGGAAGAAAGCAAAACCTCGACAAACAAAACCCAACCAAAACCCAAGCCTCTCCAGATAAAACACAAATAAAGAGAACATTAGATTGTGTCAGGTTGTGACTTCAGGCAAATCAAAATTTTGCCGAAATTTACCTGTCAATTTCTTCATCTACAGAAGAGACCCATGGCTTTGTCACATAATTCAAAATGCTGTGAGCATCAATGAAGTATTCATAAGACATAAAATTTATGGGACTATTTTTTTTTATGACTTTTGCTAAATTCTCTGCCTTGTAATTCAGACCCCTTCATTGTCAAGTGGCTTTAATATCAAGATGGGTCTTTTATATTTAAGCTAAAACCTGTTTTCTGCAAATATCTACCTATTGGGTTACAGTTCTGAGCATTTTAGGTTTAACGTTGGGTTGTCCTTTCTCTTCCCACAGGGAGCTTAGGTTAACTGAGTTATACCTACCACAGTGTTCCTGAGGCACACCCAATTCCATGGGGGCACTCCCAGTCCTCTGTGTTTATCTTTAACTTCTCCTTTGTGCTCCTCTTCCCCTATCTGTCAATCACAATTATCTCCAAATCAGAAACTGGAACTTCTAAAGTCAAACCTACTGATGTCTCTGGATTTTGTATATCTAAGTGAAATACTGTTTTTTTCTCTTTCCTTTATGTCCTCTGCATAGTTTATCTGCCTAGTTTATTTTAGCGATGTTCCTTTTCCATATAGACACAGGAAGACAGTCAATGCTATGCTTTTGTAACTTAATCACTTAATCACTTAACTTCCCGTTAGTCGTCGATTTGCTCGAGCGGGCGCCAGTAACGTCTCCATTTGTCCCTGTCGCGTGCTAGTGTAGCCCAATGGCATCTGTTCGCTCCGGGAACATGAAGGGCCTCAAACCGATCGTTCATGATCTTGAGGAAGAAGTCTGACCATCTGGTAGGTGGGCGGCCATGCTTTTGTAACATGGGAGTTAATTGACTCCAAATAATATTTACTCTTGGGCATCCATCATATTTACTTGACTTAAGCCTCAGTTCAGGTAATATGCTTTCTTCAGCCTCTGTGTGGTGAACGGCTCGGGGGTCATTCGACCCTTGTCCCTGGAGCCTGGGAGGCTGAGGCCGGAGCTGCTGCTGGAGTTGCTGGAGTTGCTGGACAGAAGCTCCTTGGTGCTGGGCAGCACAAAGCCCGCCAGGTTGAGCAGGTCCCGGATCATCTGGCCCTTGATGCTGATGTACAGGGGCGAGTTGAAGTGGAGGCTGGGGGAAATGTTGTCTTCCAAGACCCAAGGCTTGAGGTTCTTGTCCAGCATGATGCCAAAGCCGAAGAGCTCGTGGCAGCTGTAGGGCCGCTGCATGTCCATCTTCAGCAGGCTCATCACATACGGCTCTGACGAGATGATGGTTTTGACGATGACATCCTTGATCTTCTCCCAGATGGCATCACTGTTGATGCCCTTCTGGCTCAGATAGTTCCATAAGGCCTTGAGCGCCCATTTGTGTCCCTGGCAGGCGATCTTGTCCTCGATGGACTGGTACTTGGCGTTCTTATTGACGCTGTAGTTGATCAGGTGCATGAACTTCTTGCCCAGGCTCTTCGTGGAAGGGGAGTACTTGCAACTGGCAAAGTGGACTAGCCCGTCAGTGAAGAGGTAAATGTGCAGAGGATTGTAGCAGGTGACGTACACATAGATGCGCAGGTTGGACTTGCTGCCGCCGATGAGGTAGGGCTTGTGCAGATACCTCTGCACCAGCAGGGGATGGTGCTTGGGGAGCTGGCTCCACTTGTGGATCACCTGGATGCCGATATCCTGTGCCAACGCTGGTGGCTTGATGATCCACTTCTGGCGGCTGCTGCTCTCCCAGGCCTTCCTCAGGAGCTTGGTGTCCTGCGGCAGATTGAAGGACTGCGGGAAGAAGCTGAACTCCTTCTTGTCGAAGAGATTCTGCATGCATGACAGGTTCTGCCACAGCAGGTCCTTCTGTCCGATCTGGAAGGAGCCTGGAAAGTTGTTGAGCTTCTGGTACTCCCGGATGATCCTGAAGCTGGGCGACTTCATGTGGTGGCCCCAGAAGCCCAGCCAGTCGTCGCTTCTCTTGTTGAGTTTGAAGTGGGACTGCCCGATGGTCTGCTTGATGATGTTGGGGGTCACTGTGCTCATCTTCTATTGAAGCAGCTTCCTCTGCTCCCAGGGAAGCTTCTCCACTTTCTTGTCCCGAGTACCAAAGTAGATGGTCGGGGGCACGTTGGGGAGGAGACTGTAGACGGGAGCTGGCTGCATCACCTTCTCTCCAGGAAAGGACTTGGTGAGACTCTCCGTGCAGTTCCGAAAGATCACCATGAGGACTCGCCATGGGACACAGTGGAGGAGGAGAAACAATCCGAGTCTCCCTCCTCTTCATCCTCGTCATGACTACAGAAATCCTCCAGGCCATCCATGAGCTCTTCCTCCAGGTCTTCCCTCTCCACCATCTACAAGCTGTTCACCTGAGTCATCCTGAATAAGATTGGCAGAACACTAGATGAAGGACAACCATGCGAGCATACTGGGTTCCAAAAAGGATTCAGCATGATCGACCATATTCGCACAATAACCAAACTCATTGAGGTTTCTCAGGAGTTCAAGATGCCGCTCTGTCTAGCGTTCATTGATTTAAAGAAGGTCTTTAACTCTGTTGAGACGGAAGTGGTCATCAAAGCCATAACCAAACAGGATGTTCAAACTCAATACATTAGGATCCTCTGTGAGTTGTATTATGGATTCATTACCACAATCTCACCATTCTACAAGGAAGTGATCATTCATGTCAAGAGAGGGGTTCAGCAGGGTGATACCATTTCAACAAAATTCTTCAGTGCCACCCTCAAGAATGTCATGCAATGACTGGAATGGGAAGGAATTGAAGTGAAGATAGACAGTTGGCAACTACAACACCTCTGCTTTGCTGATGACATTGTTCTAGTAACACCAAACATCAGCCAAGTGGCACAAATGCTGGCTGACTTTGACCGTGAGTGTAGAAAGGTCAGACTACAATTGAAGTCCATGAAGACAATGTTTATGAGAAACAGTCTTATTCCTGATGATCAATTCACTCTCAATGGAACGAACATCTCCAAATGCAACAGTTACGTGTACCTTGGCCGAGAAGTCAACATGACGAATGACCTGGCACATGAGTTGAGCAGGAGGAAAAGAGTGGCTTGGAACGCCTTCAAGAGTGTCGAAGAAATAGCTAAGAGGATGAAGTACCTCTGGCTCTGGGCATATCTCTTCAATTCCACTGTTCTTCCTGCATTAACATACATCTCAGAGACCTGGGCCCTACAAAAACAGGATGAAAATACTATTCAGGACTCCCAAAGAGGAATCGAAAGATCTATGCTTGGAGTATCACTCTTAACTCAAATGAGTGAAAGAATCCAGAGTTCCAACCTCCGTCAATGGTCAAGAATCAGGGATGCTGTCTCGTTTGCCAAGGTGTCGAAAATCAGATGGGCTGGACACATAATGAGATTTGGAGATGACTGCTGGACTAGAGCTGTTACTGATTGGATTCCATGGGACATCAAAAGACCTCATGGCCGCCCACCTACAAGATGCTCAGCCTTCTTTGTCAAGACCCCGAACGATTGGTTTGAGACTCTTCGTGTTCCTAGAACAAGCAGATGTCATTGGGCTACACTAGCATGTGACAGTGTTGAATGGAGATGTTACTGACACCTGCTCGAGCAAATTGATGAGTAACGGATGTCAGGTGATCAAGTAAAGCCTCAGTTGCCCTTCAGTTGACCTTAGTTCCTATCCGTCCAAAAAGTGAGTCCTGCCGAGGGACTTGGATGGACCCAGGGGAAGCCTTAGGCTACCCTAGCTTTGAAAAACAGCCTAAGTGTCATAAGAAGTATGATAAGTCAAGAGTACAGTCATGGAACAAACTCTGAAATGACCCAAAAAGAAGTAACTAAATAAGGACCCTGATGGAGTTAGGGAAAACTAACCTAGCCTGAGGACTGTAGTCTGGGAAATATAGTGAGATGTTCCCAGGAAAAGTCACCCTTTAAGTTTAATCTAGGGTACAGATAAAGCTTATATCTTTTACTCTGTTCATACAAAATGGCACGAAATATCATTAAAAAGTAAATTTAATATGATTGTTTAAATGGTTTACCAGCAAATGAAAGGAGAAAGCAATACACTCTGAGATGGAATTCCACCCTTGTGTAGGTTCTGTCCTTGGGTGGATCTCCTGAAGAACTTCCCCTGAAAGGAAGGGCTTTACATTGGTTCATTGTTTTATGTTAATGTTCAACCACACCTATGTGTAATTGCTGGCCCCCAACCCTTCACAATTCCTATATAATAATGCTGAGAGACTTGAATGAACAGCCACAGATGGTCATTGGCCTCAAATGTACCAGGGGACCCCCATCACTGTGGGACCATGATCATAACTTCTACCTATTCATTGAGTTTCATCCTCTGAAACTCGTGTGTGTGTGTGTGTGTGTGTGTGTGTGTGTGATTTGTGTCACACTCAATGATTCTCTGGGGGTACTCCTAGGACTGTGCTTCGGGGCCACTCCTGACAGTGCTTCGGGGACCATATTTAGTGGCATATTCAGAACCTGGGTGGGTCGCTGAAGCTGTGGAAGTTTTAATTTCTCAGCCACATGTTAACACTAAAATATTTGGGATAAGCCCATCCACTCCTGCTAAGAGTTTCCAAAATTCACACTAAACAATATTCAGTCTAAAATAAAATTTGCTTTGTATTTAGGGAAAATTTAAAGAACCAGCAGGGATTGTCATTTTCTTCATGTCAAATCGTAATCACAGAAACTACTTAATTAAAACTCAGCGACAGGCAGTGCTTTACAACGGAATGACACTGAGAGCCAGATTTTTCATTGTTGTACGGCTGTTTATAAGTCAGAGGAGGCCAGTAATGAGGAGAGCAGTAAGCCCAGGGTTCCGCCAGAAGGATGCTGCCCTTGTAGGTGGGATGAGGTTCACTTACAGGCAGGGTCTTCCTGGCAGAGAGGACTGCAGTGGGTGGAGAGAAGCAGGGAGGTAGAAGAGAATCTCCTTTATGTTTGGGGCCGGTAGTGGTTGACTGAGTATGAGAGACATTTCTTTTCCAGTGCTATGACCTTTGTAAATACTCCACCTATTTATTTGATTATCTTAATAAACAAATGAATTAGTTGCAGATTGGGGCTTGGGGGCCACACCCCTGGCAGTGCTCAGGGCTTGCTCCTAGCTTTGTGTTCAGGGATCATTCCTGGCAGTGTTCAGGGGACCCCATATGGTATCAGGCATCAAATCAGATTTGGCCACATGCAAAGCAAGCGTCTTAACCCTGGTACTCTCTCTAGACCTGATTTGATGATCTTTTATTGGGACGTTATTTTGTTCCAGTCTTTTATTTGCAGTTAATCACAGTTCAGAACTGAGAGCACTATTGTGCAAGTGATTATCTTTAGTCTTTCTTCATGCAGTTCAATCTGATCCATACCCATTTCTTTCTTTTCTTTCTTTTTCTTTTTATTTATTTATTTATTTTGCATTTTGGGGTCATACCCAGGGATGCTCAGGGGTTACTCCTGGCTCTGTACTCAAGAATCACTCCTGGTGGTGTTCGGGGGACCATGTGAGATGTTGGGGGTTGAACCTGGGTCAACCACATGCAAGGCAAATGCCCTCCCTGCTATGCTGTTGCTCCGGCCTCCATTTCCATTTCTTTTCTTTTCTCTTTTGGGGTAGGGGCCCTATTTGGATCAGTCCTTGTGGTGCTCAAGGAACCATATGTGGTTCCAGGAATCAAATGTGGGACAGTTACACGCAGGGCGAATACTTTATCCACTGTATGGTCTCTCCAGCTTCTGCTCCCAGTTCTGAAGGTTGGGTGTTGTGGCTGGCACTGCTCTTGATCCCGGGAGCCAGCCAGGTCCTGGTCCCTGGGAGCTTGTCTTTTAGATGACAAACATGAAACCCCCTAGCGCTGCCCAGTCTTCCCATGGTGGGGGTCCCTCAGGCTTCACAATGGGACACAGGCTGGGTCTGGAAAGCTCAGGGAAGAGAGAGAAGGGACAGGGTGTGCAAAGGCACTGAGAGAGGAACCCACAGTTCTCTGTGGTATGAATGAGCAGCTGGGCTGGAGTCAGCCCAGCCAGTGCAGAGAGAGAAATCTAGAGAAGAAGGAGAGGGTCCCACCTGCCAGCAGCCACACCCTTCTTCCCAGCGAAGAAGTTGCAGCTACTTCTTCCTGTGTCCCGTGCTCTCTGTCAGCCCCCAGCTCAAGAACTTTTGCTGGGCCTTGACCACTGAAGGGCTGGAGCGATAGCACAGTGGTAGAGCGTGTGCTTTGCACGCAGTCAACATGGCTGACCCGAGTTAGATTCCTCGGCCCCTCTCGGAGAGCCCGGCAAGCTACCAAGAGTATCTCGCCCGCATGGCAAAGCCTGGCAAGCTCCCCGTGATGTATTCGATATGCCAGACACAGTAACAACAAGTCTCACGATGGAGACGTTACTGGGCCCGCTCGAGCAAATCAATGAACAACAGGAGGACCATGACCGTGACCACTGAATATAACTCACCAAGTCCAACTTCCACTGGTAGAGCTCTTCATCGTGTGCAGACAGGGACAAGAGAACATTTTTATTTTGTTTTATTTAGGTTTTGGGGGCCACACCCAGCCATACTCAGGGATTTCTGCAGGCTTTGTGCTCAGCGATTATTCTTGGAGAGCTCAGGGGACCCTGTGGGGTGCCAAGGATTGAAGCTGGGTTGGCTGTGAACAAGGCAAATGCCTCCCCCGCTGTACTATCACTCCGGCTCCCAAGTTAACATTTGAGAAATCTAATGCACTGTCCAGTGCAGTGGAGTCACCTACAAATCAACGTTTTAAAGCTTCTATAGAAAGCGGTTTTGTTTCTTGAAGGCCTAGTCACTGATTAGAAAGTGCGGCACTGTGCTCTCATTGCACTGTCGTGTTCTGTCGCACTGTCCTCCCGGTGTTCATCGATTTGCTCCAGCGGGCCCAGTAACGTCTCCATCATGAGACTTGTTGTTACTGTGTTTGGCATATCGAATACATCACGGGTGGCTTGCCAGGCTCTGCTGTGCGGGCGAGATACTCTCGGTAGCTTGCCGGGCTCTCCGAGTGGGGCGGAGGAATCGAACTCGGGTCGGCCATGTCGGCGTGTACAAGGCAAACGTCCTACCGCTGTGCTATCGCTCCAGCACAGATCAGAAATACAATCTGAGGGCTTTTAGGATATTCCAATGAATTTGGGGCTCAAGCTTTGCCGGCAGGACTGGGGGTTCGATTCCCGGCACTGCATGGTGCCCCAAGCACCACCAGGAGTGACCCTCCACAACTCTCCCCATCCCCCATCACTGTCACTGTCACTTTCCTCCCTTTGTTCATGGATTTGCTTGAGTGGGCACCAGTAGTGTCTCCATTGTG